ATGACCAGAGAGGCTAACTGGGATTATCCCATTCGCAGAGACGACTACAGGAATAATTTCGGCCGGCAGACCACCCCACATGTCGGTCACCTCGTGAGCCAGGTCCAGATATTTTGATTGCTTATCTGTTTCGGCTCTCACGAGGTTCTCGTCATACGGGATGGTAATATCGACCAAAAATATCCTTGACTGTGCCCGGTCCATCAGCACAATATCAGGCTTATTCGCAAGAATAGTCCTGTCTGTGATGATGGCCCGGTCCCAGTAGAGCCTGGCGCGGTCATTTTCGAGCACGGCTTCCGGCAAGTACTTGTAATACGGCAATTTCCGGTCCACGAGACCGTATTTCAGAGCGAGCTCCTGGTGTAGAATTCTGGCTACTAGGTTGTGCCTGTGCAAGTACTCAAAGTTAGAAAGCGCCGAACAACCGGAGATGACATGCCTAAGTGACTCCCCGGGATGGCGACAAGCTCGACAGACGTCGACAGTGCCATCCTTTAGGATTTATCTCCGATAGTTGTTGGTCTTAATAACCTGATCCTGTATTGCACAGACAAAACCCTCGGTTTCCCCGAAGAGGTCACCGAAACGTAGCCAGTTGAGGGAGGCAACTGTATCTACGAAGGGCTCATGTAGAGTCTTGTAGTACCTCCCGTTTTTTTTTTTTTTTTTTTTTTTTTATAGAAGAGGGGGGCAAACGAGCATGTGGCTCACCTGATGTTAAGTGACTACCGCCGCCCATGATCAACCGCAACACCAGGGGAATTGCAGGTGCGTTGCCGGCCCTTTAGAAAGGAGTAAGCTCTTTTCTTGAAGGTCCCCAGGTCGTATCGGTCCGGAAAAATCACCGGTGGTAAATTATTCCACAGAGAGGTTGTACGCGGAAGAAAACTCCTTTTGAAACGTACAGTGGTGGACCGCCAAGCATCCAGATGGTGTGGATGGTATCGGGACGTTTGCCGTGTAGTGCGTTCACGAAATTTGGCGGCTGGGATTAATCCGAACAATTCCTCAGAGCACTCCCCGTGATAGATGCGATAAAATACGCAAAGAGATGCAACATCTCTTCGCAGCGCCAGTGAATCGAGCCGATCGGAAAGCACTCGGTCGTCAACGATTCGAGCCGCTCTGCGCTGGATGCGGTCAAGTGGAAGGAGCTGGTACTGGGGAGCCCCAGCCCAGAGATGGGAACAGTATTCCATGAGCGGCCGAACCTGCGCCTTGTAAAGTTGCAGGCGGTGTGCCGGCATGAAATACTGTCCCGCTCTGCTGAGCACGCCAAGCTTTTTAGAGGCCAATTTGGCCTTCCCTTCCAAGTGACCACGAAACTGCACGTCACTCGATATGTCGACGCCGAGGATTCCGATACTGGCTGAGGCAACAAGGGGAGTGCCTTGAAACTGAGGGGATACGACAAAGGGGTTCTTTTTAGCGGTTAACGCGCAAACTTGTGTCTTCTGGGGGTTAAACTGGACTAGATTTAGTCGCCCCCAATCCGAGACTCTGTCCAGCAGAGACTCGACTTCAGACACAAGTTTGTCCCGGCACTCAGAGACGTTTTCCCGAGAAATATTGGCTCGGCCGGTGTAAAGAGCATCACCAGTGCTGTCATCTGCATAGCAATGAATGCTACGGGTTTGCAACATATCATTGATATGCAGAAGAAACAGCGTTGGCGATAGCACGCAGCCCTGTGGAACACCAGCATTAATAAGCTTGCAATCGGAGCTTGCACCGTCTACAACGACCTTGATGCTCCGATCTGCAAGAAAACTGGTGATCCAATCGCACAATTTCTCGGGAAGCCCATAGGAAGGGAGCTTCGAAAGAAGCGCTTTGTGCCAAACCCGATCGAAGGCCTTCGCAATGTCCAAACTAACGGCCAATGCCTCCCCCTTGGACTCTACTGCCTCCGCCCATCTGTGAGTTAGGTAGACCAGAAGATCACCAGCTGACCTACCACGGCGAAAACCGTATTGGCGGTCACTAATCAGCTGGTGATCCTCAAGGTACCTCATGAGCTGGCAGTTTACAATGGACTCCATTGTTTTGGAGAACAAGGAGGTGATGGCGATAGGCCGGTAGTTGGACGGGTCTGAGCGGTCGCCTTTTTTAGGGATCGGGTGGACGAAAGCCGTCTTCCATGATTTTGGGACTACGCCTAGGGAGTAGGAGTACCGGAAAAGACGCGTTAAAACCGGTGCCAACTCTGGAGCACACGTCCTCAGCACAATTGGGGGGATTCCATCAGGCCCACTCGACTTATGGATGTCCAGGGAGAGGAGTGCTTTGCGAACCGAGCGCTGAGTGAACTGCACTTCCGGCATGGAGCACTCACACCGCGGGATGGTCGGCGGCGTACTCCCCCCGTCATCGAGAGTCGAGTTAGACGCAAAGAAAGAGCCTAGAAGATCGGCTTTCTCCTTTGCGGTGTGGGCCAGTGAGTCGTCCTCCCTGTGCAGAGATGGAAGAGATGGCTGACAGAAATTCCCTTGGACAGCCTTGGCGAGAGACCAGAATGCACGGGTTCCAGAAGGAAGACGAACTAGTCTCTCGCCAATTCTGCCTATGTGCTCTGACTTTGCCTTGGCAATGACTCTTTTGAAGGACCTAGAGGCGGAATTATACTTCTTTTTTAGAGCGCTGGTGTTTACATCCCTGGACGCTGATGCGTCAGCCCAGGCTCGGTAGCACTCCTGCTTATAGCATGATGCTATTTTACAGGAGCGACCAAACCATGGCTGAGATTTGCCTCCAATGGGCACCACAGAGGAAGGAATAAAAAGTTCCATACCCTGAAGTACCACATCAGCGACAGAATCCGCAACAACGTTGGGATCATCCGGCGAGAAGCAAACCCGCCCCCAAGGGTAGGATGCAAAGAAAGACCGCATCCCATCCCAATCGGCTGACCCCGTGGAGCTCCTTCTCCTTCCATACGGTCTCCCGGTCGGAATTGCTAAGCACTGCTGGGTCCTGCCATTGCTCGTTGGCTATGGATAGAGGGGTAAGCCCTTTATCACTAGAAATGACGTCATTATAGAATGGATCATCCGATCTCGCCAAGAAGTACTGACGGAGACTGCACACTTCGCGATTATGCATGGTGAGCGCGCTCAGAAAGCCACGCCCACCATACTTTCGCGGCAAGTACAGCCTCATTACTGATGATATCGGATGATGCTACCTATGGGACGTCATGGTAGTGCGGACTTTTCTATCCAGGGCGTTAAGCTCAGTCTGAGTCCACCTGAGTATGCCAAAGGTATACATGAGGACAGGCTTGACCCAGCCGTTATATGCGTGTGTCTTATTCACACCGGACAAAAGGCTGTTAAGCACTTTGGTCAAGCGTGCATAAAACACGTCGCAAACTGACTGTTTCATACCAGCCTCATCGATACCGATGTTCTGTGACATACCCAGGTATCGGTACGTTTCAACCTCGGAAAGGGTCCTTAAGTTGACGGGCATAGACAAGTCTATGCCCTCAGAGTTAGCAACCCTTCCCCTTTCAACATGGAGGATCGCACACTTATTCGTCCCCAGCTCCATTCCAATGGAACTGCTAAATTCACAAGTGATGTTTAGCAGTTCCATAAGATGGGAGCGACTGGAGGCGAATAACTTGAGGTCATCCATATAGAAAAAGGTGGGTCACTTTTGTCCCTCCTTTCCGTAGCTGAAATCCCCTCCCGGAGCCCTCCAGTAAGGTACTGAGAGGGTTAAGAGAGAGGCAGAATCAGATTGGACTCAGACAATCGCCCTGGAAAATACCCCTTCTTATCCTTATGTGGTTCCCCCATTATCCCAGATGACAAAGGATCGTACTCCACTGCCCCATACACTGCTCGAGGAAGTCTCTAACTGTACAGTCAATCTTGTACAGCTCGAGGACCCTCTTTAGCCATGTATGGGGCACCGAGTCGAACGCCTTTCTGTAGTCTACCCAGGCGGCAGAGAAGTTCCGACGGTTGCGTTTCACCACTTTGCCTATGACCGCGTAAATGAGGAGTGGTTCCTTAGTTCCACGACCACCGCCCCGACATCCATTTTGAGCGCGTGACATCACCTGGTTTAGCTCCAGGTGACGAGTGATTCTCGCGCTCAAAATGGATGTCAGTGTCTTATATATGGTGGGTAGACACGTGATGGGGCGGTATTTGCTCGGGTCTGTGGTATCCTGATCTTTAGGAACCAAGTGAGTGATCCCAGTAGTGAAGAGGCTCGGGAGTGACTTCTGGTCGAGAGCCTCTTGAAACTGTCGGGCGAGCACAGCGTGACACACTACGAACCCCTTCAGCCAGTAATGATGCAGCCCGTCGAGCCCCGGACTTTTCCAGTTCGGGGCCCTACGGACCGCCTCAGCCACGTCTTCTGGCGTTATGGTGATGGGGTCCATAGGCGTAACACTCGCACCCTGACTCGCCACAACTTCCATCCAAGGGCCCTCACTGTGGTTTACGGGCTCTGACCACAGGCCACGCCAGAATGCGATATTGTCAGCCTGATCCGGTCCTTGGCCCGCTCCACATACCTTTGGTCGCTCCAATAATTTATAGAGCCTCTTTTGATCACTCTGGAAGAGACGATTCTGGTTGAACCGCCTTGACCCCTCAGAAAATCGTCGAATCCGCTTCCCCCAAGCAGCGATCTTTTGCTTCAGGTCGTCTATGCTCTCCGTTAGTTTCTGCGTGATATCCGGCTGGGACAAACTGATATTTGTCCCAGCAAACGCCATCCTAACGGTGTGCATAATCCTCGGTCTATTATTACCCGACCTGAAGCTTGTCAGTCTGCCGATAAGGGCCCTTGCCTTTGCGATACGGTCCTTGATTCTTTTCCTCCAGGCTGGGATAGCGTTAGTTTGTGTAGTAGCGCGTCCAGCCGTGGGAAGTTTGGCGCCAATAATACGGCAAACTGCCACTGCGGCGCCAAAGAGAATCGAGTCCGTCTCGCAAAGGTCCCGGCTGGCTTCCAAATAGGTCACCAGCATTGGGTTAAGAGCCCTCACGACAGCCCGATTTCGCTTGCTTAAGGGTATGCGGGGGAAGTCGCGGTCGATTTTCGAGAGGGGTGCTGCGCGTTTCCAAAATCGCCTCTTCCAATATACTCCTCATTTGCTCTAGTTCGTGGGAGACTATTTCATCATCGTTCGAATCAACCACAACTGGAAGGTCCATGGCGGCTTCCACGTGTGGATGCTGGTCTGTCGAATGTGGAGCTGCATCTCCAGCCATAGCCGATTCATTCGACGACGGAATAGCCTCACGTCGTAGTCGTTCGAGTTCGGCATCATCAAATATTTTCGAGCGCATGATGTACCGAACTCGGTCTGCCAGGTTTTGTTCCGTGACGGGGATAGACGGTTCCAGCTCAGCAAAAAAGCTATGCATCCGAGACCTATACGCTATTCCCACAGTTTCTTCCCCTTTCGCCCTATAGTACGACCGCAATGCGTTTTTGTTCATGGATTTTGTCCAACGCATGCGACGTGCTCCACCAGCGGCGGGTGCCGCTTGCTGGGTCCGAGAAGACCCAGCCGACACCAAGCCTTCTGGTGGGGATGATGGATGCGAGGGGCTGCTAGGTGATCGTGCAGCTCCTCGCGCTCGGCTGGCGGCCCGCATGCTGCCGCGTCCAGCGCCAGCTCCAGACGCGCCCCGGCGACTCCCAGGCAGCGGCCCTATGCGCGTTACTTTTTATGTTTTATCCATCATCCATTTTATGGGCGCCAAATAACGGGAGACGCCCAAGCCCGGCACCGTTTCGTGGTTGGGTCATATGCACAAACGGACCTTTGCATCTACAATTTTGCCTAGGCACGGCGCTCACACCTCTTGGCAGGATGCTGACTGACTGCGCCGACGTCGCAGTTTTGTCACATAACTGTTACGTCAGCGGGCGATTGGGTCGTCACTTCCCTACGCTTATATTATTATTATTATTACTGTGCTTACCGGTACAAAGCTGTACTCGAGAACGTTTCTTCCACATCGTTTATCGGTAATATGGCGGAGCAATATGATCCGTGGGACTACGTCGTTACTTCGATTTAACTGCAGATTTTTTTAAAGAATAAGAGTGACAAACGAGCAAACAGTCCACCTGATGGCAAGTGGATGCTGTGGCGCATAGACATCAACATCTATTCTCAATTAAAATCAAAATGTAGATGCGTTGTCACCCATGAGGACTAAGATAGAATGCCATGTTTGCAGTATAATGGGTCTCTGGTTATCTACACTCACCATACAAAATACAGCAGCATAAAGGTGCTTTTTTACGCTGGTATTCTGTGAGGGCGTGGTTCTTTCCCGGTCGAGCCAACCCATTCGTTGATATTGAGTAAGAGATAACATCTCTATGAACTATATCAAACAGAGGAACTTCGAGCACAGCCATTTCCATGGTTCGCTAAGGAACCTTGAGCTTCCTGGCAACACCCACTGGTTGTACACTATTGTTTTCAAGTTTTGAGATCATACGTGAAAGAAGATATTTCCTAATATCCCGAACGCTCCCCAACCAAGTTGGATCCGTCGATTGAGCTCTCGGTCGACGACCACTGACCGCGCGTCGTAAATTTCACTGTAGGCGAGCAACCTGGAATCGACCCCTGTCGCCACTAATGAAATTGTTAATTGCAATAATTGCAATTAACAATTTCGAGCAGTTACAATTTACATTTTTTTTACTTACAATTTGTAAGTGCTGATTTACCACGTGCTCGCTGGTGAAGGAAGGTGCGTTGTACTAGTGTTTGAGAAAGGAAAACTAGGAGGACGTGTGAAGTTCGCTAGTACGCATTGGGTTTTTACGTTTATGTAACGTTTTTAAAAATTAATAGAAAAAATTAAGAAATATTACTTATTATTAGTAAACTTTATATAACATCACAAAAAACAAAATAATTAAGTAAAATAAATTACAAGAGCAAAGTCAAATTAGGTCCTTATTTAGCAAAGTCAAATTAGTCCCTATTTAGTAAAGTCAAATTACGTCTCTATTTAGCAAAATTAAATTAGGCTAACTGCTGAACTAAATGACAGCGCTGATTTTAAAATAGAGCCCAATATTGACTTCGAGGACGGACACAACTTATCCATTGAGGTCATTGAGCATAGTGATGAGGTTCTCTAGCGATTCTGCCACTATATCGTTGGAAAATCAAAGGTGAGTGATGTACTCGCCATTGATGTTCGTGCCGTATTCCCTCCAATCTAGTTAAAAGCAATTCAGCTTGAAAACACCTTTTAATGCAACTCCTGATCTGATTTGCGAATCTTGTGTCTGCAGTTAGATAGGTTTTGTACACTGTTCTTTATTAGAATATTCATCATAACCATCATAACATATCTTCTGCTATACAGGGGAGAACACTGGGCAACGTGGAGTAGGCTTCCTAGTAAAAAAGAAGTTCAAAACAAATATAGAGAGTTTTATTGGTTTTTCAGATAGAGTATGCTTGCTCAACATGAAATTTGGTTATTTGAAAATTTCTCTTATTCAAATATATGCTCCAACTGGAGAAGCAAAATAAGAAATAGTCAAAAACTTCTATAGATAAGTAAATGACGCATGTCAGCTAACTAATAAATTCGTTATTGTGATGGGCGATTTCAATTCAAAAATAGGCTCTACTTACGAGATAGAGAAACTAATTACAGGAAAATTCGGTTATGGAAAAAGAAATAGTAGAGGTCAACAATTAATCGAATTCGCGTACCAAAACAAACTCACAATAATTAACACAATATTTAAGAAAAATTTAAAAACAAAATGGACCTGGATATCTGACAAGAAGACAAAAAACGAGATCGATTATATTCTCTCAAATGCCCCCAAACATTTTACAAATATAGAAATCATTAATAGCCTCAATTATCCAAGTGACCACAGGATGGTAAGAAGAACAATAAAAATAGCAAAAATAAAATCTAGCAGGGCAAGATACTGCAATACACGTAGCTTATTAACATCACAAAAAGAAAATGACATATATGTAGAGAATCTGAAAAAATGTAATTTACTCAACCAAGAAAATGAAAGCTTGGATAATTACTACAATAAATTAGAGAACAACATAAAAAGTTGTTTGGAAAAATCAAAAATTAAAATGAATACACTACAAAAAGATGTGTTGAGAGAAGAAATTGCTTATAAAAAAAACGTCATAATTTACAAAATAAAAGACCATTGACCCGAGAAGATAAAGAGGAGCTAAAAATGTTATATAAAAAAGCACATAAAGAAATTAAGAAAGACTACAAAGAACACAGGTTAGAGGTAATAAACAAACATTTAATTACAACAGGAAGCACAAAAAGAGCATACAGACAATTAAATACCAGCAAACCTTGGATTATGTGCCTAAAACAAACTCCAACATCAAAAACTCAATCAAGGACCGATATCGTGAACATCGCCACAACCTTCTATCAAAAACTGTACAGCGATACATCATCAACTGATGTAGAATCATATAAGAAAATGGTACAAAGCCAAGAGGAGACGGTGATCCCATTTAATGAAATTAAAATCATAAAGAAAATTGAAAAACTTAAAAACCATAAAAGTCCCGGACCAGACAATATCTCAAACGAGGCAATTAAAGCAGCCAAACAGGTATTAGCAACCCCATTTACATATCTGTTCAACAAAATCCTAGAAACGCAAAAGCTACCGAAAAGCTGGTTGGCAACTGATATAATTCTACTATACAAGAAAGGAGATCCCACAGACGTTGGAAATTATAGGCCTATTAGCTTACTACCAACCATTTACAAGCTTTTTGCTTCTTGCCTAGAAGAAAGATTGAGTCCAGCTATCGAAAAATATCAACCTATTGAACAAGCCGGCTTTCGTAAAGGATACTGTACCATCGATCATATTCACGTTGTTGAACAGGTAATAGAAAAATATAATGAATTTAGAAAACCACTATTTTTGGTGTTTATCGACTACGCTAAAGCTTTCGACTCTATTTCACACACCAGCATTTGGAAAGCTCTAGAAAACCAAAACATTCCCCAACAATATATAAACATCCTAAAATACATCTACCATGAGAGCACTAGTAGAGTCAAATTAGACCGAACCGGACCAGCTTTCCCAATAAAAAGAGGAGTGAAATAGGGAGATCCACTTTCACCAAAAATCTTTATAGCAGTATTGGAAAATATCATCAAAGGCTTAAAATGGACAAATAAGGGTATAAATATAAAAGGAAACTACCTCAGCCATCTTAGATTTGCAGACGATCTAGTAATATTTTCCGAGGCAGCAAAACAGATAGAGTCAATGGTAAATGAGCTAAACAACGCCAGTCAAAATGTAGGCCTGCAACTAAACACTATTAAAACCAAAGTAATGACGAATAGAGCTCAAATACCTATAATCGTGAACAACATTCCATTAGAATATATTGATGAATATGTGTATCTCGGTAAATTAATATCATTCAAAAGAACGAGACACGTTGACGAAATCCAAAGGAGAATAATATCAAGTTGGAGTAAATTCTGGACCCACAAGGAGATTGTAAAATCGACTCTACCTATAACACTCAAAAAGAAAATAACAGATTATTGTATTCTGCCCTGCCTTACTTATGGATGCCAAACATGGATATTTAACAAACACAACAGTGACAAGATTACAAAATGTCAAAGACGAATGGAAAGGACAATACTTAACATAAAATTGAAAGACAGAGTAAGCAACTTGGAATTAAGGAACAAAACAGAAATAATAGACATTCTTCAATACGGTCAAAGGTTGAAATGGCGATGGGCAGGACATTTAGCACGCATTTCAGACCAAAGATGAACTAAATCGGTGACAGAGTGGCAAGGACCAGCTGGAACACGTGCAAAAGGCAAGCCAAAAGAGAGATGGGTCGACGAGGTGATGGCTACAGCTGGGAAAAACTGGATGAACAAGGCACAGGACAGACAAGTATGGGCAGCTCTGGAGGAGGCCTTTACCCGAAGAGGGGTCCTCAAATAACAGGTATAATAAGTTAAAATTATAAATATACTTAAAATAATAAATAAGTACTAAAATATTATTTAAAAGAAAATACTAATAATATAAATCTGTGAAACTAAAATGTCAAAATTGTTTTATATAAAAATTAAATTATCTAAATAAAAGCAAATTAAATGCAAAATGAAATTTCCAATTGAATGAAATTCTAATATTATAATATTATATTCATGTACTTAAAGTTATTTAAATTGATTTTTGTAACAAATTTATTTAGTGTAATGAAATTTCCAATTAAATATAATTCTTACATTATAGTAATGCATGTACTTAAAGTTATTAAATTGATTTTGAGTGTAAATGAAATTTTCAAATGGAATGTAAGTCTAATATAATTAATATATTAGACTTACATTCCATTTGAAAATATATTGCACGCACTTAAAGCTATTAAAAATGAATTTCTAACGAATTTACTAAGTGTAAAAATGAGGAATAA